TTGTACAAGTGGAAAAATCCTTAATTTTATTATTTTTTTACTGTACTCAAAAGCAATTTTCACATATTAATGGTTTATTGTAGACAGCATCTGTTGATTCTTTTTGTCCCCAGCCACAAGCACACGTGTTATATGAAAGATGATTGCTTCTAGACAGTTGATTAATTTTTGTATGATAAAGATCACTTCACTGGCTAGCTAGCTACGTCCCATTTGTCTTATCCACATCTGCATTATATGAACCCTAAGAGCTAATTAGTCATTGCACGTCAGCCGCCAAGACTACTTGCATCAAATGCTTTAATTATTTTAGAGAATGTGGTGTTGTTACTTCACTCCTTGTGGGAGAATGGAGTGCACCGTATTCATTGAAGGAAATCAACGACGAGTCTTGGCATTCCTTTGTGTAAAAAACTTCTAATTCTATATTGTCAACATTTTACAATGACAATTATTAATTATGTTGACATCCGATCTGCGGGCTAATTAAATTCGTTTGTTATATGCACTTAGCTCATACTAAATTAAGGTCGAATCTGTAAAGTCAGCTCGTACTTATGATCGTCGTAGTTTGAGGGGACATAATGATTGTAAATTTCTTACACACTGTTAGAACATTCAATCAATTAATGACATTTGGAAGGACTTACGTCAGCGTCCACCAATTCCACCAATCATATGCTATAATTTCATTCTTTAATCAGTTCATTAATTACTGAGGATCTCATTTAAGGTGGCTTCATGATAACTTGATGGAGCCGACCTTAGCAACCAATCAGGATAAGACATTGACGTACTTTCCCAACTTGGTACTATATATTGATTTGACAGCAACCAATCAGGAATTAAGCCATTGACACAAGTTCTCAACTCGGTACTATTGTTGACAAGATAGAAATATGAAAGATACATACCCATCATTTCCTCAGAGAAAGAATGGAGAGGAAGCCTAACAACTTCATATGTCAAATATCTCATTTGATAAAAACACTTGTAGTTTATAAATAATTATCAATTAAAAACTCTTATTTACACTTGAAGTTGACTTGAATTTTGTTTATACAATTTTTGACGTCAACAAATTACATAAAATGTTCGCTATTATAAAAAATCTATAATATATAATCGGTTAACATTTGCCGTGTGATCTATTTTATCTATCTACAAAGGCATTGAAGGAAATCAACAACGAGTCTTGGCATTCCTTTGGAAAACACACACACACATTAATGTATACTTTTATGTGATTTTAATTTATGTAATTATATTCTTTTAAGAAATTAAACTCTTGATTGAAATTAAAATCAGATTTTAAATATGTTTGATAAAACGTGTAGTTGAAAAGTCATGAACCCTATAAAATGTGGTTAACATTTATTATTGACTTTGATTTAAATTAAAATTTGAATTTTAATCTTGGGGGTTAATTATATTCTTTTTTTATTCAAAGAAAATGAATAATGCTACTGTACATAATGTAGTTATATAATTGTTTATATATAGATAATGTGTCAAAAGATAGTGAGATTTTTTTTTTTCTTTTTTTGGTTTCAGAAATTCCGATTCAACCATATTAATCATGCTTAGTGTACAGTGTTGGATGACAACTTTTTTGACATGTTACGTGACATATTGTAATTGAACGGTTTGAACAATAACTTTTTTTAACTAACAATTTTTTGTTAACTCATACATTACGAACTGGATGCCAACATTATACAAATAACTTCATCTTTTTTAGTAAGGGGGACGAGACAAAAAGCAAAGAAAAATAAATAAAAATTCTCCCCTTGAGTACCCAAAGCCATGGAAAAGCATAAAAAATAACAATCATGCTACATGTACACTTCATTTGACATCAAGTTTGACATTGTGCCACGCGTTATGGCATAAGTGGACAGTTTTAAAATAAAATACATTTTCCCGCTAATTTGCATTTGAAAATACATGGAGTGTCAAACTCCATGT